ATGGGAGACGGGGGGAGCCCACCTGGGAGGGGTGGAACACCACGCTGGTGACCTTCTTGGCGTGGCCCTTGAGGGTGGCCAGGATCTGCTCGGAGCTCTTGTCGAAGACGACGACGTTTTTGTCCGCCCCGCCTGGAAGGACGCGCGTGAGGCCGGAGCCGAGCCCTTCTGGCTCCCTTTCCCTGCGGCTCACGCACAGGACGGACAAGACACCGCATCCCTGGGAAGCCAGAGCGGCAGGAAGCGAGGTGACCAGGCAGCAGGGACAGCGCGCTGCCCACTGGCTCCAGGCTGGCCTGCCCCCCCCGCCCCCCGCACTCACCACGTGGGATGACACCTGCCGGTACTTGCTGAGCTCCTCCGGTTTCACCAGCTCCTCAGGCACCGTCTTGCCTCTCTGCGGACGGAACAGGGCCCGAGACGGGCCGTGAGTGCAGGACGCAGCCGCCCCCGCAGGGTCCTGCCCCCCAGCTACCTGCCCCGGCCCCGGGGGACACGCACCTTCTTACGCTCCGTGGTCAGCACGGTGGCCTTGTCTTGAAGCTGTGGACGAGAGGGAGCAGACTCAGGGCAGGCAGGCTATTCGCCAAGACGAGGGGAGCTGGGTGCGGGCACAGCCCTGTCCCCCAGGTGTCTGTCAGGGGCCCGAGCATGAGCCCTTCCCTCGCCCTCCAGGCTGGGGGTGGGTGCCGATGACTTGGCGGCGGAGGAAACGGAGCCTCGGAGAAGTGGTCACTCGGCCGAGGCCGCAGAGGGGACCACGCAGAGCAAGCAGACAGGTGCGAGGGGACCAGGCCCGGCCGGCTGAGCTGAGGTGCAACCTGGGGGCCTGCACTGCTCGTTAGACACAAACGAGCGCATCCTGGGGGGAGGGCGTCCTGGGGGGAGGGCTGCATCCTAACAGCGCTCTGCGCTCTGCGGTGTGAGCTGTGCCCTGGGATCTGTCTGAGTCTCAGTCCTGAGAAGGCAGATGCTAATTCCTGTCCGTCTCCCTCAGCGCAAAGCCTGAACACTTGCAACAAAGTGTTTAGTATCACCAAAGAGCCCCTAGGGAAGCGCTGTTAGTCTAACGCCCACAAGTCTGGGGAGGAGGCACTGGCTCTCACTCTAGAAGCAGCGAAATGGACACAAAAGAGCTGGTAAGTGGCCCAAGGTCATAAAGTTCATTAAAGGCGACATAAACGCAGCCGGGCCGTCTGTGCCACAGCGTCTGCGCTCGGCACGACCCACTGCCTAACAGCCTGGGTCCTATCATACCGCCTCCAGGGAGAAGCGAGGCCCCCGGTCTCCCCCCCACGCCCCCTGGAGCGCACCTACCTTCTGGATAATCTCGGGCGTCATTCCCACCAGCTCGCCCAGCTCCATCGGCTCACCTGCTCCCTGCGGGGAGGACATGAAGGTGAGGGAGGCCTGGGTGCCAGGCGCGTGCAGGAAAGGGCAGCAGTGGGGGGGAGGGTGGTCGGGGGCCGACGGCACTCACCACAACGCTTGGCTGAGAGCTTGGCACAGCCTGCGGCACAATGAGGCCAGCCTGCGGTTTCAGCGTAGCCAGAGCTGAGAGAGAAGACGGCGTTAGGGGCGGGCGTGACGAAGCGAGGCCAGCCCGGCGTGGGGTGGGGCGGAGGCTGTACCTTCTCGGGCAGCGGTGACTTCCTTGGTGAGACGGGCAATTAAAAATCTATTTACGTGTACCTGAAATGTTTAGTACAAGTTTTTAATCATTTCGGGGAATTATCATTGTTTATTTTCACCGTTTTAATCCAATTAGACAGTTTTCTTAGAAGTATATACTGGAATCCTCAGAATTTTAACTGATTCACACAGAAAACGCCAAAGCCAATTAGCCTTAATTGGAAACATAAACACTATTCTCTTCATTCCAAGGCTCTATACACAAAGTCTGAGTTCTGGAAACCTGAATTCCGAATATTTGAAAGCACATTTCCCTGAAAACGCCACCTGAAGTCACCGGAATTGTCAGTATTTCCAGTATTTTCATCATTTCACAGCTTTCCCCTGGAAACCTCCTTGTTGAATACGGGAG